CAGTGAATTCTGCTCCCTCCTGATCAGACTAGTAATTTGTTAATAGTCAAATTTATTACGGTGTGGGTGTACATATACATATGGTTGATTTCTCTACTTCCTGACAAATCAACCGTGGTGAGATTTGAGACCCGAGTCCGAATCTAATCACGGTTGATTTGTCAGGAAGAAGTCTTCCTGATGTTATCGATCTGGAAGGGGCGATCCCAGTGTGCGGCACCATTGGAAAGTGCCTGAAAACCATACCACGGGTTGACCCAACCCTTTTGAGTGAAATTGGGTAGACGGAACACTTGGGGGCCGTCGATAGGTGTGCTAGCACGAAGCCACAAGTCATCGTGATCGAGTATATGAGTGTGCTGGCCTTGTTCAGTTTGTTGATCACGCTAGATATCACGCTCTATCCCAGACACTGTAACCCAGGTTTGCTGAGCATAGTTGCAGTATAAACCACAGGTTGATTCTCTGTGTGTTGAATAAACACAAATGTGCCTGAGCGAGCATCTGCAACAGGGATTGGCTAGCCATAGACGAGTATCCTTGAATACAAGTGGCCAGCTATTGTTTTATGGGTGTATATGGGTATATATAAATAATGGTATGTATGAAAATGTCTCTCTCTCTCTCTCTCTCTCTATATATATATATATATATATATATATAATTTAAAGAAAAAACAGACCACGTTTAAGTTCCATTGTTATAATTTATTTCACCAGAGATTTTTTTTTTCACTGGATCTTCAGACTTCACTTTCAAGGGTGGAAAAATGAATTTAAAATTTACACTTTTGAAGGCAGTATTAAGCTTATATAAGGTGACATAGAGGGTGGTGAGGGATAGTGTGAGAGACATGGTCGAAATTAGAGAGGGAAGGGAGAGTTTTAAAATTTATTTTTATTACAATATTAATATTGAAGAGGAGGGTTGTAAGGATCAGGCATTGACCTATTTAATTAAAGAAAAAAATGTATGTATGTAAGTCTCTATGACAGTATTTCTTAACCAGAGGTGCTCGCATCCCTTCCGGTTGTGATATCGCTTCCTGGGCGCGGGGCGGGGGTACTGAAACATTAGGGGTGGTTTATTAAGGAAACTATTATATTGTTTGTCGATCTGACATAAAAGTTAACATTGTAGAAATCTTTACCAATTGCTAACATCATAATAGCATAAAATGTATACATAGGGAAAAACGAGCGGGAATTTCTGATAAAATTACGGTAAAGTTGGAAACACGGCTTTGTGAGGTTTGTTTTGATACAGAGCGGAAATATTGCTCAAATATTGTTGAGATGTGTTTGCTCTAATGCGATCTTTAAATATTGTGTTTGTGTTTACATATAAGTATTTATGCGTGAGGGATGGTATAAATATTTATATATAGATATATTTAACGCCTGGTTAATATTTTCAAAAAGAATTTTGAATTATATGAAATTATGGATTAAATGTGGCTAGGTTAGTTTATAAACTACTAAAGACATTTGATGTAAACTGAAGTTATATGCGGTATTTAACGTTTATTACAAATTACTTGTTATATTATGGCATTTAGTTAAAGATTACTAAACATAAAACTTTATAAATAAATGGTAAGTATTTCATTTTAAAATTGTATCGAAAAAAGAACTGTTTGCATAATTCGCTTTAACAGGGTTTTTGTAATGGATTATTTTGTTGTCAGTTATGTGAATTGTAATGACAAATATACGCAGGTGTACGTTTAAAGAAAGCTTTATTCGATAAGATTATGGTATAGTGTCCTTTTATAGTCCCAGTAAACAGAAATAGTTCTCTCAGAGAGGTGAGTAACGAAACAAGGGAAGACCACTCTTGATTATTCATAATATGAATAAAGATTGAAGAAGGACAATGGCTTTGCTATTTACACATGAGATCAGTATTGTTTTTCATCAATTCTGGAGGCGGGTGCGAGAACTTTGGTGGTTTGAAAGAAGTACGAGAAATGGTAGGGGGTTTGAAAGGAGCGCCAGAACTGGTTGGCAGTTTGAAAAGTGTATAAGAAGTGTTTGGGCGAGAACTGGTTGGTGGTTTGAAACTGGTACAAGAACTGGTTGGTGGTTTAAAAAGGATACGAGAACTAGTTGGTGGTTTGAAAGGGGCGCGAGGAATGGTTGATGGTTTAAAAGGGGTGCAAGAACTGGTTGGTGGCTTAAAAGGGGTACAAGAACTGGTTGGTGGCTTAAAAGGGGTGCAAGAACTGGTTGGTGGATTAAAGGGGTACAAGAACTGGTTGGTGGCTTAAAAGGGGTGCAAGAACAGGTTGGTGGCTTAAAAGGGGTGCAAGAACAGGTTGGTGGCTTAAAAGGGGTACAAGAACTGGTTGGTGGCTTAAAAGGGGTACAAGAACTGGTTGGTGGCTTAAAAGTGGTACAAGAACTGGTGGATGGCTTAAAAGGGGTGCAAGAACTGGTTGGTGTTTTAAAAGGGGTACAAGAACTTTGTTGGTGGTTTAAAAGGGGTGCGAGAACTGGTTGGTGGCTTAAAAGGGCTACAAGAACTGCTTGGTGGCTTAAAAGGGGGGCAAGAACTGGTTGGTGGCTTAAAAGTGGTACAAGAACTGGTTGGTGGCTTAAAAGGGGTGCAAGAACAGGTTGGTGGCTTAAAAGGGGTGCAAGAACTGGTTGGTGGCTTAAAAGGGGTACAAAAACAGGTTGGTGGCTTAAAAGAGGTGCAAGAACTGGTTGGTGGCTTAAAAGGGGTGCAAGATCTGGTTGGTGGCTTAAAAGGGGCACAAGAACTGGTTGGTGGCTTAAAAGGGGTGCGAGAACTGGTTGGTGGCTTAAAAAGGGGTACAAGAACTGGTGGATGGTTTAAAAGGTGTGCAAGAACTGGTTAGTCGTTTGAAAGGAGTACAAAAACTGGTTGGTGGCTTGAAAGGGGTACAAGAACTCGTTGATGGCTTAAAGGGCTACAATAACTGGTTGATGGCTTAAAAGGGCTACAAGAACTGGTTGGTGGCTGAAAAGGGGTACAAGAACTGGTTGATGGCTTAGAAGGGGTGCAAGAACTGGTTGGTGGCTTAAAAGGGATACAAGAACTGGTTGATGGCTTAAAAGGGGTGCAAGAACTGGTTGGTGGCTTAAAAGGGGTACAAGAACTGGTTGATGGCTTAAAAGTGTTGCAAGAACTGGTTGATGGCTTAAAAGGTTACAAGAACTGGTTGGTGGCTTAAAAGCGGTGCAAGAACTGGTTGGTGGCTTAAAAGGGATAAAAGAACTGGTTGGTGGTTTGAAAGGGGTGCAAGAACTGGTTGATGGCTTAAAAGGTGTACAAGAACTGGTTGGTGGCTTAAAAGGTGTACACGAACTGGTTGATGGCTTAAAAGCGGTGCAAGAACTGGTTGATGGCTTAAAAGGTGTGCAAGAACTGGTTGGTGGCTTAAAAGGTGTGCAAGAACTGGTTAGTCGTTTGAAAGGGGTACAAGAACTGGTTGGTGGCTTGAAAGGGGTACAAGAACTCGTTGATGGCTTAAAGGGCTACAATAACTGGTTGATGGCTTAAAAGGGCTACAAGAACTGGTTGGTGGCTTGAAAGTGGTGCAAGAACTGGTTGATGGCTTAAAAGGGCTACAAGAAATGGTTGATGGCTTAAAAGGGCTACAAGAACTGGTGGATGGTTTGAAAGGAGTGCAAGAACTGGTTGGTGGTTTGAAAAGTGTACAAGAACTGGTTGATGGCTTAAAAGGGGTACAAGAACTGGTTGGTGGTTTGAAAGTAGTGCAAGGACTGGTTCGTTGTTTGAAAGGGTAGGGAACAAAGGAAAGTGGCAATAATCACTGGTATATTATATCTATATGCGAGTCCAGGTATGTGTGTGCACATGTATATATCGATGGGCATGTATATGTATACATCTATAGACAAGTACGAAAAATAAAAACACGGTGCGAATGTATTTTTCTATGTGTACGTAGGTATATACGTGTATACAAAATTAAAAAATGTCCCTGAATTAAAAGTCCTATAATACCAAATGGCTCTGTTATAAACATAGATAAAGCATACAAGCGCACTCTCTTCAAGTCTCAAGTTAGGAAGTGAGAAGCTTGGGTAATTAATGTGATTTTCGACAAAGAGCTTATCATCAAAGATCACAAGATTGTCTCCTAACACATAATTTTGTCTTTCTTTCATTCAAACTGATGACGCCAAAATGAATATTATCTTTCTCTGGCGAAACACGTCTTTGATGAAAAATTTCCATTTTGTCTCATCATTTTCATTTAATTATCTATAAGTTTCTATGACTTCTTGGAAAGATACCGGAGTAGTTTCTCATTTACCGTTTGCACGGTTTGAAGTCAGAAATTTTTTTTTCTAGGCTCCTTACAGAGTCCAGTTTATTTAGTTTATTTAGTCCTTAGATGATGGGAAGAATAGAAGTCTTCATGCATGAAACGAGGCCAGAAACTGAACTCGGTTGAAATTTGATTCCAATTTCGGTGCTGATAACCGTTACACTACTCACACGACCTCAGCTTATTTAACCCCAATAAAAAAAGCCCTGGTTTGTAATAACTTGTTTAAAAAGTGACAATATTTATTATGCAGACTAACTGGAAAAAAAGATACAAAATAAATATATAAATTTTATAGAACGAAAATGACACAAAAGAGAAAAGACGAAAAAGAAAGAAACAAAGAATGAAAGAAGGTTAATGAAGGAGAAATAAAGAAAAGGCAAAAATAAGAAGGAGTAAAGGGGGAGAAAAAGTGCGAAATTAAGGACAAAGAGACGAATTGGAAGGAATTTGAAGAGGAAACAGAAAGAAAGAAAGAAAGAAAGAAAGAAAGAAAGAAAGAAAGAAAGAAAAGGAGAAAGAAAAATGTCGGAGATGTTAGGATGAATTTCAAATGAGAGAGAAAAAAAGAAAGAAAGTTAAAAGACAGAATGAATTTTAGCGGAAGAAAGAGGGAAAGAAAGAAAGGATATTATAGAAAAAAGAGAAAAATGTGCGAGAAGAGAGATCGAATTTAAAAAGGAAAATGAATGAAAGAAATTAAGAGAGAATGGAAATGCGGGGCAAGACAGAAATAATTTAAACCGGAAGAAAAGAAAGATAGATAGACAGAAAGAAATGTGGAAGAAACAGAACGAATTTCAAAAGAAAGAAAGAAAGAAAAAAGTGTAAGAAAGAGACAGTAAAAGAACGAAAAAAGAAAAAAAAGAAAGAAAGAAAGAAAGAAAAAGAAAAGAAAGAAAGAAATATATGCTACAATACCGAATGAATTTCAAAAGGTAAAAGAAACAAAAAAATCAAGAAAGAAAAAAAAGCAAGAAAAGTAAGCAAAGAAGAACTTGGGATAACACAAAACAAAATTAAAAGAGAAGGGAATCAAATAAAATAAGAAAGAATAAAAAAAAAGAGTTTTAAAAACAGAAAGAAAGTTTTATATAAAATGAGAAATAAAGATAAAAGGAAAGATTGGAAAAGAAAGTAACAATGAATGTCAAATGAAAAGAAAATCGAAGACAAGAAACATTGAGATAGAATGAAAGAAAAAAAATAAAGAAAAAGACGAGGCCAGGGTAAATAAAAGAGATGCAATGAGCATAACATAAATAAGTAAACTTATGAAGAAAATGATTTGGGTAAAAGAAGATGGCGGAAAGCAATATAAAAACAAGAAACAGAAAGCCGAAAGAAAAAAGTAAATAAATCTGTTTAAATAAAAAGGAAAAAAAAAGAGGGGAGAAAAGATAGGCAATGAAGAAACGAACTGTCACTGGATGAAAGAAGAAAATAAGAGAAATCCGTGCTTTTGAAAGACAAAATCTAAGGGTGGAGCTTATAGGCAAGAACTGGTACAACCGCGTTAATACCGCCATCTTTCTTTATTAGGTGAACTCGTGTATTGTCTATTCATGTCTAATTTCCCTGCCTGTTCCCATCATGCTTTACGTCACAAGAATCGTCTGCCGAGTTTGGTTAGATCTTAGCAGGCCGCCAATCGGCAATATTCCTACATCTTCTTGCCGCCTCTTTGTTCTGCCGTACCGTTCAAACACTTGAGTCACTAAACGGGACATTTATCCGGAAAACGTTCGAAATCATGAATACGCATATATGAATTTCCCTACAGGCATCGGAGGCTATAAGTGTGTAGCAGTGATTTGTGTTTGAGTATGTATTCGCGATTGCCATAACATGATAAATACGACTCTAAATCAGTCATCGAACGGACATTTTTCCCTTTTATATTCGGCTCAAGCAAATGCGCCCAACACCTCGATTTACCCAACATTAGAGAAATCTTAGGAATTTACTCGACACTACTTAAACTGAGTGGTCCCAGCCTAAAAAATAGGCAAATATTAGGTTAGGTGAATATTTTTAGATTAGCATTCATTAGATCTTAGTCAAGGCACAATTATTGTTAAAATCGAAATATATATATATATATATATATATATATATATATATATATTTCTCTTTTAAGCCTTTCACTCCAAGCAAGGCGGGAAGCCACTAGCACGCAAGAGGTTACAGAGAGTTGGAGCGAGTGCAAAGAGGAGTGATAGAGGAAAGGATGAAGAGAAGGATAGGGGATAGACCAAGGCATCTGGAGATCTGGAGACGTCAACTGACATCACATTTGAATAGTTGGAGATTATAGCTAAACTGGAATAGAGAAGGGAATTCCACGGGCGAGAGAAGCTATTGGAGGAGAAGAAACGGCTACATTTAACAGTTTCGACAGTGAAAGGGGGAAAGCGAGATGCCAGCCTAGTTGAACGCTTAAATTCATGAAGTCTGAGAACGAGCGAAAGCAGTTCTTCGGAGCAGTTAAAGTATTTGTAAAAAAGACAGAGGGAGTCGACGGCACGTCTGTGAGAGAGCGACTGCAGACCAGATGTCAGATCAGGGCCAATTACATTGCATTACCGTCTCTGGAATTTATCAAGCACCTTGAGACAAACAGAAAGGGCTCCAGACCATATATGGCAGCAATACTCCATGCAATGGCGAATGGTTGATTTGTAGATTTGAAGGATCGACTCCGGCAAGAAAACTTTCCTGGCACGGCACAGGGAACCAATTTTCCTTGTGGTGGGCGAAGCTATTGACTCAATGTATTTGTTCCATCTCAGGTCAGCACTCAATGTGAGACCGAGCAGTCGCAAAGAGGTTCTCTCTTGGAGGTGAGCGTCAATCATTCTAATGGTGGGCAGGGACGGTTGTCTGTGGTGAGTAATAGAGAGCAGTTTTGTTTTTGAGGCGTTAAAGTTAACCAGCCAATTCCTGCCCAAGTCCACAACCGATTGGACGACTTTTTTAAGACAAAAGGCCAGGTTAGTTTTGTCAGTGACACTAAATTTGTTTTTGAGGCAGGAGTAAATTGTAGTGTCGTCTGCGTAGATGCCTATTTGGTAACTTATGACGTCAGGCATATCGTCAATGAAGATGCATTTTTAAATCATTTTAGAAGAGGAGGGTCATGTTCATAATATAAATACAGTGATCCCTGACTTATTAGTCCCAGTAATAAAATACAGATAAATCTTTATGAATGCAGGGATCGATTTGACGCAATATTCTTCAAAATTTACTCGGTACTACTTAAATTTATTGGTCCACTCGTATCAAAATAATCGTGACTCTTTAGGAAGATGAATACTCTCTTGAGATTAGCTTCCACTAGACCTTAGTCGAGACCCGATCTTTGTTAGAATAAAAGAAATATCGTCTTTTTAAAATCATTTGAGAAGTGGAGGTCACTGTGTTAAAGCACTTCTTGATCGCAGTAAAAATTTTAAAAAAGTACAACTAATTCTTTGTGAATGCACAGATCGATTTTGCACGATATTTCTATTATGTACCTGACAACACTTCTAAAACATATTGTAAATTACAGAATCCAAGTCGAGTTTTCAAGCCTAAAAATATATTTCTGAAACTAGAGGTCGACTTATATGGCAGTTATAAAATGCAAACCTTTACCAGTGAGTTGTAAACAAGTAAAACAGCACTCCTGAACGTTACTGTGGAGTAATGGATAGCGGCTCGGATTGAGGAATCGGAGAGACAAGTTCGAATTCTAGTCGAATCCATTACATTCACTTACGTGCTAAAAAACTTGGGAAAGGTATGACTCCTCTTCTTCTCCTGCCAGCTATGGGTAAATAGCAGGGCAATCCGGGTTCTATAGCTATGGATGGCAACTGGTCTACAGCAGAAAGAAATGCGGGAAAAAAATCTGTATTGAAAGCTACATGATCGCCTAAGCGTGTATTACGCATGCTACATAGCTAACTCTAGCAGTCTGCCACACATATATCACTAAAACCTGCATTTGGTAAACATATTTTGCATATTAACACAGAAATTAATATAAAATAATAAAATAGAAAAAAAATTCAATGTTCTATTAAATCTACGATACATAGGTGTCCTGCAGATGATACACTAATTGGAGGCGTCGCGAGTTGCTTTTTTACATCACATACAAATGGCGGATAAGTGATAGTGTATTCTTAAAAAAAAAACAACTTATGATGTGTAATGTACGGTATTGTATTAGGTTGGTACCAAAAAAATGACGTAATAATGTCGTTTTTTGACGTATTTTTAACGTCAAAAAACGACATTAATACGTCATTATTTTTGCACCAACCTAATATTAACATTTTATAGGGAATAATGTTGACTTTAGTATGTTTATCAGTAGATCTGTCTAATTATAAATATTCGCTAAATTATGCCTATACAATATACTGTCTACTGGTGTGCCTTGTAGGGTGTTTGCTATACAACGCATATAGAAATTTATTACGGTTACTGTCTCATATACAGGTAAGTGGTAATTTTGGCGCGGGTTATCGTTTACTGCAGTCTTACTTCATTTAGTTTTGGGTCACTGATAACCCACCCTATGTTTCGAGGTCGACCTATGCAATAGGTAATTGCCTAAGTCACAATTTTGTGCTAAATTTTTTAGGTCGACATGTACGCCAGGTCGAGTTGTACGTCAATATTTACGGTAATTTGTTTAAATGGACTCGATGAAGGTCTAATAAATGTCAATGTACAAACATTTATTAAACAAATGATTCCCTTTATTTTTTAAGGATTGACCTAGTTAATTTAAGTGGTGCCGTTTACTTAATACTTTATTGCTTGGGAGCGTATACGCTTTTGCAAACATGCTACGCGAGCCTCGCCCGAGCTTCCCACTGATCAGCTAATGATCATCCCCACGTTGCATTCTAATCCTCGATCTCATCGTGCGTACCGAAAGCTGGGAAGGGGGCAGGTGCTGCATGCTCACAAGGTAACACGATGAAAAAAAACAAAACAAAACAAAACAAAAAAAAAACACCACGCCAAAAAATAAGAACGTTTTCTACATTATGTGTTTGTACTTTATGTAGTGCTTCACCAGCTCGAATTCTCTGTCAGCTCTTTTCCCTATCAAGTCCATTTTTTTTCGTATAGGTGATCCCAAGTATTTTGAACACTTTTCAGTATTCCGCCGTTCCTACTCATACATATTTGCTTTTCTATTCTACTTGTGTTATCTTGTTGCATTGACTGAGGATATTTTTCTGGATTTTATTTATCTTTGATTTTAGTGTAGAACACGTTCAAAAAGATCCATCCCGTGCCATACGGGATACTCCTTTATGTCTTCATGTCTCTTTCGATTCATGACTGACTAGGACGAAGATTTTTTTTCCACAGTAAGTTGCAGTTTCTTTCTGCGGTAGACTTGTTGCCAAACAAAGCTATAGGATCCAGTCTGTCCTGCTCTTCAAGCCACATTATATGTTTTATTATCATCGTTTATTTATAACTGTGTAGTTAACAAATTTAGAACATTATCTTATATTTAGAAGAATCTATCGCCCTCCTTGTATTTTCTAAACCGCCTCATTTTCGCATGATATTTATAACAGTGTATTCATCTATTCTCAATATATGCACGTCTTGTTCCATTTCTGTAAGCCCTTAAAACAACCTCATTCCGTAATCCTAAGGCGAGTGTCTGTTGAGCCATGTTGTTCCGGGTTTCAGCTTGGACAACTTCAGCTATATCAGCTCTTCCCCCTATGAAATCCTCACCCATCTACGCATCTGTCGGGTTACCACTTCCTAATTTTCGATACCGCTACTAAGGGACGCTTTCCGGACTATAAATACTACGTGATAATTTTTTTATCATTCACTTCTCACCTTATCCGCTTATTCATCAACATGTAAATCTCTCGCGGAGAACGCGTTCCCTTTTCGAAACGCATGAACAATACATACATATACACACACACATACGTACATTCACTCTCTACACATTCTTTGGCCCAAACGGTTTTTACATTCATCAGACACATACATCTTTGTCTTTGACTTTGTCACATGTAACTCTTTATTTTTAATACATTATAATTTGTTTGTACATATATATTGTTTCTTGCTGTTTCTTTTCATTTATTTACGTGGGCTCACGTCCTGAGTTCGCCATATTTGCTGTGGGCATTCTCAGGAGACACATGCTTATTTCTCAACCCTAACACCGACGTTACTAACGCCCGTAATAAGCTAGGAAACGCATAGACTGGCCTACAACATCACAATATGAAATGAATGCCACAGATCAGCGACAGAGACACTTTCGTCTCCTGCCCGAAATTGGAAAGGAACTATCCGCTGGTTAAAAAAAAACAAAAAAACACTTGAGATCGAGATAAAACCAATTCTTCGCTTTCTCTGTGGGTGGTCTTAATATTTTTTAAAATATTTTTGAATAATATTTTGTTTTTA